GTAACAAGCATCCAATCTCCGTCCATTTCTCCATTATTTCACGTGTCGTCATCGCGCACATCCATTCCCGAAATATCTATCTTATCCCGACCAGAAAAACCTTATAATATAAAGACCGCAAAACCAGAACCCATGTTCATGGGCGTGAACATGTTATGTGAGAAACAGATTTCATAAGATAATGTAATAAATTCGAATATCCATTACGTAACTTCTCAAATATGCTCAATTTGTACGTTTTAGACAAAAAAAGTTTAGTAAGAAAGTATACTTATTATCTTTAATTATGGGCCGACTATATATACACGTTCATCATCAAATATAATTATCTTTTTTGGTATAAAAAGCCACTGTTTCTGTTCTCTTAAGTCTTGATGATTTAGAAGCGGCTTTGAGGAAAAAAATGCATTATCAAGAACAGATGGAGTCTCTTATGTTGGGTGAAGAACCCAGACACGGAAACTCCGTCAGAGACGCAGACGCGGAGGCAGATGAAGGTTTTCACTCTCCGTCTTCTTTTCCAAATTCTCCTGACGATTCAGACCGTCGCAGTTCTTCTTCTTCAAGGTAAGGAGAATCAAGGAGTTTTCATTTTCCGCCTCTGTGTTTAGATTTTGTTAGAATAAACCCCAACAATTAGGGTGTTTTCTTGGAAATCCTATACTTTGGGGGTATAATACAAAAGGTTTTAATATGGAAACTATATTTGCAACTTGGAAATTTACCCTGAAATTTATGTCTTGGAAATTTTCACAACAGGAGGGGATTGTCAAAGCATTACAAAGGTAAATCACAGTCATTCACATCGTTGTCTGAAGCGCTAAGTGTAGAGGATCTCGCAAAACCAGAGAATCCTTTCAACGCAAAACTGAAGCAGCGACGGGAGAGCCTTCACTGTCGACGATCCTCCGGATGTGGTGGTGCATCGGAAAGAAATTTAGGTGGTCACGACGTATTCCACGCCGGAAACGATAGACCTTTGCGACTTTCCGGCAACAGACCGCCTCTGAGAGCCCAAACGCTTTCGGCGGCTCATATGTCGACTTTGCTTGGTCGAACCTAAACCAGGATGTTTTGGTTTCTTTTCTTCTTTAACCGGAACGGAACCGGGTTTCGTTTGGGACGATGTTTTTTCGAGCTTCCGTTTTTTAATGTGTGTGTGAATGTATAAATTGCAGGTATTTTGCCTCTTTTGATAGTTTTTGTAATTCCAGTTTAAGTTGGTAGTTTACCTTACACAGTTACACTTGCGTAAATTAACCGTATACACAAGAGCTTCGAGGAGCTTTTGAAAAATATATAATCTTTTTTATAAATACATCAACATGTATGGGATAGCCTTATAACAACAATAAGTTATGGGTGACTTCGGTAAATAACAATAGTTAGCTGGGGTAACTAGTAAACATCGAATAATATGGGGTAATTTTGGGGTACACAAGAATACAAGATGGGGTCATTGTTTGATAAATAGGTAAATTTTGGGTATTTTCCTAAATACTAGTAATATAAGGGTGCTTTAATCATTATACGAACAATTACAGTCAACTTTGTAAATGAAAACGTTGGACAGTTTTATAAATACCGAAAGCTTTATGAGGCCAAGTTAATATTTCATTTTACCACAGCATCAAGCCATAACGAGCCATTGGCCCATGAAACATCGATCGAACGAATCATGCAAAACAAAGCGTAAATAAACCAAAACGGTGCGTTTAGGCAAGGGTCCATTTCGTATCTGGCTCTTGTTGTTTGTTTAGCAATCGAAATCAAATCAATAGATTCAGAGGAGAAAAGAAGACGATGGCTTTGACGGTGGCGAAGAGTGCTTTGGCGACGATTAGGGAGAAAGGTCTCGGCTGTTTCCTCAGGATGATCCGAGAAGAAGGCTTCATGTTAGTTCTTATTCGTCTCTCTTATCAATTATCTCGTCCTCTTCCCTGCTTAATTTCTTCTGGGATCTCCCTGAATTTGTCCTGTTAGATCCCGTAAATCCCAGCAATCGGCAAGATCTTTCGGTTTTGAAGACATTCTTTCATTTTGCTATTGTCTCTGCTTGTCTGCCAATTGAGTTATATATATCCTAGTGTCACGGGTTGCTTGATGAATGTTCATCTTCTTAATGGAAAATGGAAAATTAACAATTTGTATTTTGGTGAACACCAGTTTTAGTGGTGATGGTGATTATTGTAACTGGCTCAAATGTATTTGGTTGCTTGTAATATTTTTGAGATATTTTTGAGCTCTTATTGTTTTTGTTTCCGAGCTTAAGCCATTTTCTAATTTGTTCTTTCCACGTTTTTTTTCCCACTCATTACAGGAGATGCCTACCAGATGGAAACCTCTTGTAAGTATCTATCTTCGATATATAGTTATTTAGTGCATAGTGTTTTACTTCTTCAGGGATTGTGTGTATGATTCAAGTGGTTGTTCAAGAATCCTTAGCTCGTTGTCATTTTCTTATATGTGGCCTTTGCTGTGTGAGCAAACATCATTTCATCAGACCTCACCGATTTTGAGCTATTTACTAGTCAGGCAGCTTGAACTACTGATATTTTGCATAGTTCTGTGCCTCATAGATGTAATGGGAAATTGACTCGGGGATTAGTATAAGAAGAAGGTTGTGTGAATTTTTGGAATTGGTCAAGTTACATGTTTCATGTTTGAAGCAATTGGCAAAGTTATGCCAGTAGTCATTTCGAGTCGAATAGAATAAAGAGTTTTAAGTAGAAACTGATGTAATGTTCGCCTACACAGAAAAGGGCATAGATAAGAAAATGGCCTAAAATTTAATAGCCTCTTGAAGAATTCAGCATAAGTTGGACATGTCGCTCATATAGACTTAGATAATTGGTGAATTTGACTGCATTCACATCAACTTTGCTTATAGATCATTTCTTTATGCTTAATATAAATATGGAGCTTGATCAGTGGATTGATTCTTGTATACTACTTTTTTTTGTTCAAGGATTTGCAAAGTATATGTCATTTGGTTTTAGGAATTAGCATATTGCTCTGCCACATGGGGAATTGTAGTTATTTACAAATTTCGTTTTTGTTTAACATCAGGATATCCATATTTTTTCGCATTCTGGATGTTAGTGTATGATATCATATGGTTGACTATTGTGTTTTATATATAGTTACCAATCTCTTTTATATTTGACCTTGCTGTTAAAGTCGCACTTTCTGATAATGTCTCTCTCTTTGATCATTCAAGGCAAACTAAAATACACAACATAGGAGCAACACTTGTTGGTGTAGACAAGATCGGTAACAAATATTACCAGAAGCTGGGCGATACTCAATACGGTACGCGATTTTTCTTCTTCTTTTCTAATAACTTGATGCGTTTACTATATAAATGTATCTTTATTGAATGTTAAGTCAATAGGCTTTTGCATTGACACATAGAGTACACTTGCTAACAGGTAGACACAGATGGGTAGAGTATGCGTCAAAGGATCGTTACAACGCATCTCAAGTACCAGCCGAATGGCACGGATGGCTTCATTTCATCACTGATCACACTGGAGATGAGGTATAATTAAAACCCATTTTCAATACGCTGTCTAGAATTATGGTTAGGTATCGTAAATTGCTTCCTAACTTGAACAAATATTTGATGTCTCTCTGTGTTTGAAGCTCTTGAGCCAGAAACCAAAAAGGTATGGGCTTGAGCATAAAGAGAACTTTTCTGGAGAAGGTGATGCCTACATTTACCATTCAAAGGGACATGCCTTGAACCCGGGTCAAAAGAACTGGACTCGGTACCAACCATGGGTGCCCACCAAGACCAACTAAGAAGATGAACAATTTGTGGTTTATGCTCTTTGAGAATCTCTCTTGAGTGATTTGTTGTTTTGTTTCTGTGTCATTTTAATAAAAGCTGTTTTGGATGTGAAGCTGAAGTTTGATCATATTACTAAAAGCTTCTTGTGTTTCTTTGCCTCTGGTCTCTGGAGAAGAGAGTACATGATTATGAACATTTTAAAAGTAATTCAGTCGAATCAATATTACTACAATTTTTAACTTCTATAACACATACATCTTTGATACTGAATATAAACCAAAAATGTCCATGTGTGACGTGGGTGTTCACCCAATTTCTGATTTAAAACATAAGAAAATATCCTCTATTTTTATTTTGTCACGCATAGAAAAATATCTTCCGTCGATCCTGAAAATATTTCGGAATGAGATGTTTTTCTTCCTTTTCGATCGAAAAATATGTTTTTTTTCTAAAACGGATATTCTATCAGAAAGCAAACAAATAAGCATTGCTGGCTTTATAAGGAAATATATATTTTTGTGGACACCATGTTTTATTTTAGTGGAAATTGAATTTAACACTGGAATCAAAACAATGTACTCATATTAATTTCATTTAACTATAAACTATTCTTATTGGTTGTGATAGTCAATTATGTTTCAAAATTCATAAGCAAGAAGATTGGATCTATCACAAAATAACCATACGCATTGCTGGTTATGATTATGAAAATATATGATTATTAGTGGAAACCATGTTAGCCATATATCATACTAGATTCAAATTGTTTATTCTTCTTGGTTTTGTCGTTTCTCTGGTCAACTCTGTCGTCGTATTTGTTTCTAGATTTTCTAAGCAAGAAAATCGAAATTGGAACGTGACTAAAACAGAAACAAATCCATCAATACTATTTAATTTAGTATCGAAAAGGAGTCTTAATTTGAAATTAAGGTAAAGACTATTTAAAGCTCATCTGACTGTACCGTTTCCAGTTATTATCACCCTGGCATGAATTGTCGTCTCCCTTCCACACATTTCTCTCCTCTCCTCTGCGAATTCGAATTCGAAGCTCGTTGAGCTCAAATCAGATAAGTCAATCGTAGAAAACCTCAGAACGAGATATATTTTATATCTGCGTCTCCTTCAACAAACCACACTTACAGAGATTTCTAGCTTCCGTAGCCATGGGGTTTGATCCTGAGAAGCAATCGATCTCTTCTGCTGGACAGGTTTCGCACTTCTCTTTACACATCGTCTTTTGATATTCATTTCCGAGAAAAAAAAATTGTACTGGGTTTTGTTTGTTTGTGTTCTTCGCCGGTCAAATTAAGGGCTTGAGATAGCTTTGAAAATGCTATATTTAGGTTAGGCTTTGGCTTGATTTCGGATTTCCGATTTTTCATTTGGATTTCACCGTAATGTGTGGAGCTTGGCGAAATTGGGATTTCAAACTCTTTTTAATTGGGTACTTAGACACACAATTACCTGATAATTTAGCTCTTCATTTTTTGTTTTTTTTCTGCAAAATTCTGAAACTATGTTGTGTGTAGGTTGGTGATTCATCGTCAGGTGGGATTAGCTCAGTAAAGGAACCTCTGATAAAGGAGAGCCACAGCCCAGAGAACTACTCTGTTCTTGCAGCCATTCCCCCGTGAGATTTTTCTGTCGTTTTCATTTGTTTGCTAGTCATTAAATACCAACTAATAAAAAAAAAACTATGGTCCCAGAAAGATTTTTGATTTGTATTCACATTTTTATTGCCAATATTTCTGCTGAAAGCAAGTGGAGTGGGAATCTATTGTCTTTGCACAGTATGCAGATTCTTCTAAAGTCTAAACCCATGCTAAAAGGTCATTTATTGCAGGTTTCTCTTTCCAGCTTTTGGAGCTTTGCTTTATGGTTATGAAATTGGTGCAACTTCTTGTGCAACCATTTCTATCAAGGTAAATGGCTTTACCTTGTATTGAATTTTCTAGATTTATCAAGTTTTAAGCGGATTTCATGGTACAACTTGTCTTGCATAATTTTTGTTTCATTAGAGGTAACAGAGTCGCTAATTTTACTTGGCCTTTGCCTCATGTACAGTCGCCTACACTAAGTGGAGTTTCATGGTACAACTTGTCTCCAGTGGATGTTGGAATATTTGTGAGTCTATAATTCACCATTCTCGGTTCTTCTAACGTATTTGTTTATTGCTTTCAATTTCTGTTCTTGTTTCCTTCCTATGGAGCTGTGGTCTTTCTTGTAGAAGGAAAAAGAATTTGCTTATAGTATCTTTTGAACTTTTTGTGCAGACAAGTGGCTCACTCTATGGTGCTTTGTTTGGCTCCATGGTGGCATTTAGTGTTGCTGACACTATAGGTTGGTTTCTTTTGAATTTCGTCATCTGGTTTATGTAGCAGTGCCTCCATCTTGAAATAAATTGAATTGTTGGATTGATATTGTTCCAAGGAAGAAGAAAGGAGCTGATTTTGGCGGCGTTCTTGTATCTTGTTGGATCCATTGTGGCTTCACTAGCACCTGTTTTCTCCGTCCTAATAATTGGCCGGGTTATTTACGGCATGGGGGTTGGACTGGTACGTTAGATCATTCATCTTTAGTGTTTGCCTGTTAAAACTTGTATGGATCATGCATTTTGACTTAGTAATCAATCTCAGTCACTATTTCCACAAAATAGCCACTTGGTAGAATTATGCTTCCCTCTATTACTGAAAAGTATGGATCAAGCATTTGACTAAGTTGATATGTTCCCTTATATTTAGACGATGCACGCGGCTCCAATGTACATTGCGGAGACTGCTCCAAGTCAGATACGTGGACGGATGATATCACTAAAGGAATGCTGCACTGTCCTTGGGATGGTTGTAAGTTCTCGAAGCTCTATGAATTTTTTGAAATTTATTTGCTCAGTTTGAAATTACAGAATTGTTTCTCTCTGTTTTTAAAAACTTTTTTTTTTCCGCCAAGTTAAACTGACACATAGACTTTTGTGAAGGGGGGTTATGGAATCGGTAGCCTCTGGGTCACAGTTAACTCTGGTTGGCGTTACATGTACGCAACAAGTATCCCTGTGCCAATTATTATGGGAATTGGAATGTTTTGGCTACCAGCATCCCCAAGGTGGCTTTTATTGCGCGCTCTCCAGGGGAAAGGGAACGTGGAGAACCTTCAAGAGGCTGCAATTAAGTCGCTTCGCCGTCTTAGAGGGCCGGTCGTAGTTGACACAGCCGCTGAACAGGTAAACGAGATCGTGGCTGATCTTGCCTTTGTGGTTGAGGATAAAGAGGCTACAATTGGTGAAGTTTTTCAAGGCAAGTGCTTGAAAGCTCTCATTATAGCAGGAGGTTTAGTCGTGTTACAACAGGTTCGTGCAGCCAATTCATCAAATATTCCTTATGGAAAATAACATTTTGCTAACTATAATTTACTTTGCAAATGGCAGATAACCGGGCAACCAAGTGTCCTTTACTATGCCGCATCGATATTACAGACTGCTGGCTTCTCTGCTGCAACCGATGCTACTCGGATCTCGATCCTGCTTGGCGTATTTAAGGTACATATATTTTCTTCCATCTGGTTTGACATGTCAGATCCTTTCCGTAATGTAAAACTGGAGGGTGAATACGCTTTGTAATACAATCTCTGGTACCGATGTTAGAAGTAGCGAGTACATTTCTGGAATGCTTATCACATTTTTATCCTTGTAAACTAAAGTTTCTGCTGTAAAGCTACTGACTTGGTTCCTTTACTGTTGCAGTTGGTTATGACTGGAGTTGCTGTTATAGTTATTGACAGACTTGGAAGGAGACCTTTACTTCTTGGTGGTGTTAGTGGCATGGTCTGTCCTCTGTCTTATCCAGACGTTTCTTTCTTTTTTTTTTCGTTTTGTTTCAACAAGTTCCACATATTCACCATCTCTTTCGATTTTGAAACTTAGTCTCTTGTGTAACAACAGGTGATCTCATTGTTCCTACTGGGCTCCTACTACCTCTTTTATAATACTGTACCAACTGTTGCTGTAGCTTCATTACTACTCTATGTGGGCTGTTACCAGGTTAAGTATTTTTACAGATTTCTCTGGTCAAAGTTCCCTTCCCTGGCAACGTCATATGCGTTTTAAGAGTTACTAAAAAATTTGTTGTCGTCAATCTTGCAGATATCCTTTGGCCCGATTGGTTGGCTGATGCTTTCAGAGATATTTCCCTTAAGATTAAGAGGTCGAGGAATCAGTATAGCAGTTCTTGTGAATTTCGGAACAAACGCATTTGTGACTTTCGCTTTCTCACCTCTTAAGGTAAATGTATAACGATTCCAGAATCAAGAAACTCCTTCACTCTATATATGTTCTTTCAACAGAACTAAGTTAACTTACTCAAAGATCTAAGATACATTCTCATATACATGTGGTTATCCAACTTTTGTGGTGTGAATGAGCTAACATGGTTTTGGTTGCAGGAGCTGCTAGGAGCTGGAGTGTTGTTCTGTGCATTTGGAGTGATAGCTGTATTGTCTCTCTTCTTCATATACTTCATTGTGCCTGAGACAAAGGGACTCACTCTTGAAGAAATTGAAGCCAAATGTCTTTAAAAGGTTTCTCATCTTATCTCTGCTGATCACACATTGCTTGAGGCTCTGAATGGCAAACGCAGCAACCGCGGTTGGGGTCACACCATTCACCCAACAAAAAGGAATTGAGACGCGGGATTTCATTATTTGGAAACGGTGCAGCTCGCGGGAAAGATTTGGGGCGTTGGACAACTTTTAAAATTCGTATTTATTTCCAAAATGTAAGAAGAACTCAGTCACACCATTTAGTTTTTGTTCTATTGCATCATTTTTTTTTTTAGTTCCTTGTGTTTGGTCCATGTAATCTACATTGAATTTTTGTTTAGTACTGTAAAAAAAATTCAAAACTGTATGAAACATTGTGACGTCACTGGTTATCACACAAAACATGTTATATAACGTCATTACAGAGGAAATAAAAATATACGAGAATCTTCTTTTCATTTCTAGCGGTTGTGGCTATCATATCATCACACGAATTCACTCACAAACCATATAAATGCAGACGCGTCCTCAACGTAGCAAGAAGAGAACAAAAATCATATTTTTGTCATCAAAACCTTAAAATCAACGAAAATGGCGACCACAGGCGACGGTAAGGCGACCAACAAGCAGGTCATATTGCGAGATTACGTCACCGGTTTCCCCAAGGAATCAGACCTCATCTTCAACGAAACCACCGTCGATTTAAAGGTTCCGGCGGGATCCAAGACGGTTGTGGTGAAGAATCTCTACTTGTCATGCGATCCTTACATGCGAATTCGCATGGGGAAACCAGATCCCGGGACTGCTGCTCTCGCTCAAGCTTTCAATCCCGGAGAGGTATCATCGACGTTTACAAGCTCTTACGCACACTTCGTAGATTGTTCTTTTGAAAAATGGTGAAATTCGATTGGAATTAACACGATGTTGTGTTTGTTTTCTCGTCGTGATTAAGTTTCGAGCTTGTTAACCTCGTTTTTGGAAACAATTTCACAGTTGAAGCAGTGATACATTTGAAAAATCATTTTAAAATCCAGAAACATTATTCTATTCTGTGAGTCTGTGACCAGTACGATGTTCTTATAAAATAATTCGAGTTTACCTGTATTAAAAAAAGTGATTGTCTTTTGGGATTATGTCTTACTCGCTCAGGTGCTAAAGCTTTCACTGTGTTGGTTTTGCAGCCAATTTCTGGCTATGCAGTGTCTAGAGTGATAGATTCTGGACACCCAGATTACACAAAGGGAGACTTAATCTGGGGATTAGCTGGATGGGAAGAGTATAGTGTTATAACTCCAAATCCTTCACATTTTAAGATCCAACACACCGATGTTCCGTTATCCTATTACACTGGACTTCTCGGTATGTGATCTCGAGCTTCTCTTTTGGTCATGCTTGTAGCTCACTTGATAGTTTCAGAGAAAATGTGAACTTTATAGTAATAAAGCCTGGCTATACGATACTTGATGTACTTCTATCTATGACTCTTCGCTTGATACATTTGTCATTATGGTCTGGTCTTGGATTGTATTGCATGCTTTATTGACACAAGCTCCCAATCATGTAGAGATAACGTTGTTGGAAACTCTACAAGTTTCAATAGTTTACTATTGGTCTTAAAAGCATTGCTCTGTTTCTGACAGGTATGCCCGGTATGACTGCCTATGCTGGGTTCTATGAGGTCTGTACTCCAAAGAAAGGAGAGACTGTCTTTGTGTCAGCTGCATCTGGTGCAGTTGGTCAGCTTGTGGGACAATTTGCAAAGATCATGGGATGTTATGTCGTTGGAAGCGCCGGCAGTAAAGAAAAGGTAATCAGACTTTACTTCGAACTCTAGCTGTTGACCCATTACACATCAAACGATTACAGATACACATTTCAATTGGTTTCTTTCATGTCTTTCAATCAAGGGATTGACTTGTCCCCTTTTTTCTTTCTTCGTTGACCTTTGTTATAGGTTGATCTTCTCAAGAATAAGTTCGGTTTTGATGAAGCTTTCAACTACAAAGAAGAGCAAGACCTTAATGCCGCCCTGAAGAGGTCAGTAAAATCCTTAGTTTCACATACCGATATATAATTTCTTCATGGAACAGAGATTTAACTCAAATATATGAGATATTTTTCTTTACCAGGTATTTCCCAGAAGGCATCGACATATACTTTGAGAATGTAGGAGGCAAAATGCTAGACGCGGTGCTCCTACAAATGAAGCCACACGGCCGTATCGCGGTATGCGGAATGATCTCACAGTACAACTTCGAGGACCAAGAAGGAGTACATAACCTAACAACCATCATCTACAAGAGAGTTCGGATTCAAGGGTTTGTGGTCACTGATTACTTCGACAAATACTACAAGTTTCTTGATTTTGTGCTTCCGTATATAAGAGAAGGGAAGATCACTTATGTTGAGGATGTAGTTGAAGGGCTCGAGAATGGACCTTCTGCTTTGATTGGACTCTTCCATGGTAAGAACGTCGGCAAACAACTCATAGTGGTTGCTCGTGAGTGAATGATATCTGGTTTTTAAGTTGGAGAGGAGTTATTGGAGCTTGTTGTAGTTTGTTGTAGTTGTATCAAGATGTTTAAGTTTCGTTTTTACACTGCACTTTCTTGGAAATAAAAGCCTTTATGTTTGTCTACGATTGCATTTGGATTATTGAAGTTTTGTTTTGATTTTTTGATTAATAACTAGTCAAATAACTATCTCGCTATATCATAAATTCACGATTTTGACAAAAATGCTTTTATCATTCATGTAACATGAATACATGATTGTACATGTTGTAGTGATATTTTTATTCATAAAGTACTGTACTGTTAATCAGAATTAAAATATAGTAATACAGTATGTCCATTTTTCTGATGTATTTAGCTAATTCTCCAACACGAAGAACTAAAACGTGGGCTTTTATTTGTTTGCCAATTAATATGGGCCTAAGCATAGGCGTTATTGTAGTTTCCGCTTCACAATCAACTCTCTCTCTCTCCTCGAGACTTCTGGTTATTTCGTTGTTGGAGATATGGCGTCGAATCTCCTGAAAGCACTTATCCGATCGCAGATTCTTCCATCTTCGAGGAGGAACTTTAGTGTTGCTGCCACTCAAATCGGCATTCCTACAGACGATCTAGTCGGCAATCACACCGCCAAATGGATGCAGGTATTGGCGATTTTGTAGCCCTAATTTTTTTTTCTTTCACGAACGGCCTAATTTGCGTGAATTAGATCGTGATTTGGCATATTTACGATTTGCTCATCCGTTATTGTTCTCTGAAATTTGGGATTCGCGAAGCTGTGTTTACTGGCATTTAATTGGATTTTGGAAATCACAGATCATTTTCGTAAATTGACCTTAATGTCTGTATTGGTTAGCCCGAGTTTGCGTAAATTATTCTTAATGCTCTTTCTTAGGGTTAGATCGCGATTTGGCATGTTACGATTTTGCTCATCCGGTATTGTTTTTTTTCTGAATTCGGTCACGGATGTTTGATTCATAAAACTGTGTTGCTGGTATCAAATTGGATTTTGGATATCACAGGGAAACTATCATTTCCGTAAATCGTCCTTAATGAGTCTCTATTGCTTAGTCGCTTGATTAAATGAAGGTACTCATTTCGATGTTAGATCAGAGTTCATAGAGGCATGATATCTGCTCGGGAGTTGCTTGAATTTGACATTGGACCTAGTTTCTAGATGTATTACTCCGTTTTGCTTCTCTTCTTCTATTACCTGGAGAATTTGTTACTGAGCGATGAAAACTATCTCTGCTAAGATCATTCTCGTTGGGTGAATTTAGGGCTGCTATTTCTTTGCCCATCTTCAATCAGAATCCAGTGCTACCTCAATAAACTAGCAAATAGCTGAGAGAAGAATAGAGTAGGCGGTTAAGATAGCTAAATAAAATGGTCTTATGCTTCCCCTGATGACTGTGAACTATCTTTGATGGATTATTCTTAGGGTATCAGCTTGAATCTGGTGCATTAATTTGTTGTATAACATGGTTATGTCGATCTTATTCTGCATCTCACAATTGCATAGCAATTTTCCTTATTCATTAGTTTAATAATCACATCGATTAGCTTAGATTATAATTTGCTTTAAATTTGTTTCTCAACAGGTTCTATGGTGTCACTTCTCTTTGCTACCTGAAGTTTTTGATTGTCGGAATTTATGTTTATAAAAAAAAAGCAGATACGCTTGTGATTGCTCTGGTCATTTGAATACAGTTGTGTCATAGAGGTTTCTTAGGTTGTTACTACGAAAGATTACATTACATAGGGTTCTCGATATATCTCTATAGACACTTGCAATTTAGATAAGTTAAAGATGGCAGCCCTACTTACTACTTACATTGGAAACTAAATGATTCGTTTGGAGAATTGGAATTGTCGAGTTGAGATTTCCAAATTTATATAGATACATCGCACATGCTCTATACCATCGGTTCTTTCTGGTGAATTAGTTTGCGTATCACATTTTGATTTTGTTTGCAACTTCTCTGGTAGAGTTTTGAATAACGCTGTTGAAGGAACTAATCTGTACAGGATAGAAGCAAGAAGTCTCCAATGGAACTGATCAATGAGGTTCCTCCTATCAAAGTTGATGGAAGGATTGCTGCTTGTGAAGGAGGTTTGTCTCCTCGTCTCATCAGTTTATTTACTTTAGTGATTATATTTGCAAACTAGAAAACTTGATACTTCGCTTTAATTTGCAGACACTAATCCGGCCCTCGGTCATCCAATCGAGTTCATATGCCTTGACCTAGATGAGCCAGCGATCTGCAAGTACTGTGGCCTTCGTTACGTACAAGATCATCATCACTAAACTGAAATCTCAGGTCTGAGGTGGTCCTTCGAAATCTCCAGTCATATCTAATAAATGATTCGGTCGAAGTTGGATAATGTCATAATGGTGATTTATTTTGTTCTTGCTTCATGTCTCTCATCTCTCCTCAAGTTGTAAAATCCAATATGTATTTGTCTTTTCCATGCCCTTGACCTTTCCAAAGGCTAATAATGCTGCTAAACTGTCGTAGTTGAGTAATCTACTTGAAAGTAAAACATTTAAACGACACGCTCTCACTTATGGGCCTCTATAAATTAGACTTGAACGTGATGCGCATGTGTTATACATAGTCCAAAAGTAGGGTACAGTAGAAAACTACATTAAAATGGGCTTCATATTAAAAGGCTAATTGGTCTCGAAATAAAGCCCATTTTGGCCCGTGATAGGCCCATTTTTGACCGGTAACAAAGCATACTCGGCCAGTTCCGACCAAAAATATTCCGACATCAAGACAGAAAATATTCCGACTTAAAAGATTCCGACAGAAATTGTTCCGACAAATAATATTCCGATTTCCGACATCAACTTTTCGGACAAAATTTTTTCCGACATGAACTGAAAAGAAATTCCGACATCGATTTTTCCGACAGAAATTTTCCCGACATGAACTGGTCCGACAAAAGATATTCCGACAT